CAATCAAGTCCTTGTAGAAATGATTATCAAAGATTGTTGGAGTTGCAGTGTCTAAAGGAGCAAGATTGTTATCTCCTCCGTTGACCGGACAGTTTACTCTCAATGCTCTCGCATAGGAGGGATCAATGTTTGTTTCATTGTAGATCCTGGCGCGGAAATTGGTGCACCTAGCTTGGCCGACAGTGTGGGCACCATAAAGAGTCACCAAATCACTAACACTTAAGCCTTTGTTTGCGAAGGAAGTGGTGAAGTTGGTCAGATTCAAAGTGGGTGCAGGGATGTCTGAGTTGGCACCACTGAAGTTTGCTGTCTTTGAATCTCTTCTGCCCAAGAGAACTGTCCAGTAAGGTCCACCCAACTAAAACAAAACCATGAAAAAAAATGAGTAAGATCAAATAATTAAAATTCAAATATTATATGTACAAAATTTGTCATGTAGTTAAATTTTTTTTTTTTTTACTTACAGCAACCACAGAGTCACGAGCGGTAATGGTGATAATATCGGCACATGAAACAACGCCGGGACAAATTTTCTCAACTTCAGCTTTGATTCTGTCAATGACATCAAATCCCCTGAGAGAACCGTTATTTGGTTTTGCTGTTTTTTCCCCTTTCATTGTAGGTGTGTCGTCCAATAGTACAGATCCATCGCATCCCTGGTACATATATGGAGCACAAGCAATTGTTATTAAAAAAAAAAGAAAACTAAATGAGATATTATTTTAAAAAAAACCAGTTTAACTTTGTAACATATTCAAAATCAAAATAAAGACTATGTGATAAAAACTAAATGAGATATTATTTAAAAAAAAAAAAAAACCAGAATATTAAGATGAAGGAGAAGATGGCTTACATTAACAAAGCAGTCATGGAATTGAAGACGAAGCAAGGATGCTCCCATCCGGGCCTCATTTGCAACTGCAGCTCTAACCACCTTTTCAATGGCAGGAAGTGCCCCGGGGCATGTTTTTGCATAGAAGTCCGGATATAACTGAGCAGAAGCAGCGCCAAAAAGAAATAAAATTAACAAGAACGTTGCAAGCTTAAAGGGTTGAAAGGAGGAAACTTTAGGAGACATTGCTGAAAAACAGAGGTCAGAGACAGAGAAATTAAGAAGGTTGAGGAAGAAGAAGTTTTGAGTCCAGTGCCGGATAAGTTCATAACATGTCCTATATTTATATAGGAAGAGCTCAACTTTAATTGGACCGCATACAATTTGCCTGGTTACATGTTTGTAAAGGTCCAAGTCAATAAGCAATATAAAAAGTTGAAAAAGTATTACAGTATGTCTTGCCCTGGTTGTATATTTAAGAAGCAATTTGAATATGGCCGCGTAAAGCTGGACATTAGGGATAATTGTTTAGTCTCTTGATGATTGCTTCTTCTTGACATAGTCAAAGATAGAAATGAACTTTTAGTAATTAATGTTCATTTTTAATCTTTTTACCGACTATCAATTTATTTTGACTGTGTATTAACATATTCTTAATTTTTTTAAAAAAATATAGGGAGTGACAATAAAATAATATTTTAATTATATACCATCTAGTTAAAAAAGTAGATAATTCATATTTATTACAAATATATAACTTCAACATTAAAAGTTTTCACCATTAAATTTCTCATAATTTCAGTAAATTTATCAAAATCTGATATTTCTTTAGGCATATAATTTTGTATTTTCGTAATTTAGCACTTCTTATAAGAGATCTTTTCAAGCATTAATATTTTGCTTTTCGAACAAAAAATGAAAAAAGAAAAAGAAAAGTCATGGCACAGCTTGCTTTGTACATGGAAATATAGGCTTTGCAAGTTGAGACCCATGATTTTGTTAAAGATTACACTTTAATTGTAATGTTAAAAGCTTATAATTTTTTTTTAAACAGGTAGTTATAATATTTAAAAATATTTTTTTATAAATTAAATTTAATATGGTAAATAATAATTATTAATTATTTTATTAATTTTTTAATTTTAATTATTTTATTAATTATTAATTATTTTTAATAATTAAA